TTTTTTTTTTTTTTTTTTATATACCAATGCTTTTACTTACCATTGTGTGTTACAATCTCTTGCACCCTTTGTTGCTCTCTCATGTTTTGTTTGGTGATAAATATTTGAGATTATAACCTCATTTTCATCTTTCTTCAGTCGAGTCCCACATGCTTCTATTAATAAGGAAAAGAGAGATGGACTGCATTTTTTTTCTGGGGGCATAACCTTTTATCAGTAGACCTTATTTGTTTGGGGTTTTGTTTTGGAACAGAACTCGTCGGATGAAGCCCGACAGAAGATCCTCAATATCCGGGAAGAATACAGAAACAAGTTGCTGGAAGCGGAGCGCTTGAGGTTAGAAGCGCTGGCTGCTGAGGAAGCGGCCATTAAGATGGAGTCCGAAAAGAAGACCCCCGTCGTCCCTGACACACAGAAGAAAAAGAAAGGGAAGAAAAAATAACCAGGAGATGTCCAGTGCTACCACCTTCCGGAGAGGAAAAAAAAATTTTTTTGTTTAATAACTTCCTTGTCTGTAACTTTCTTGATAAAATAAAATATTAGATCAAGTGAAAATGGAAGTTTTCTTATCTTAAAAATTGCTTCTATATTTTAATCCTAACTTACTAGTGTTTTCTCAGAAAGCTAGTGTTTGAAGCCATTGGAGTTATAAATGTTTTCATTTCAACAAAGCTTACTTCAGAATATTTGGAATGTTATAAAATTTATGTATCTAGGACTGAATTGCCTAGACTTTTAATTGGTAAAAATACCAGAAATGAGAGTACAATATTGCTTTTGAAGAATTCAACAATAATGAGAAAAATATAGCTGTTGTAGTTAAGGTTAATTTTATCTCTAATTTTATACTTTTTTAAGTATTAAAAAATATGCTTCAGAATTATGACTGTTTTTTTTTAAGTTGAATTTAATGAACTTTTTTCGTTGAACAAAAGCTATGCTGGGAAGGCCTACCTTACCCAAGGTGCTACCTTTCTGATCTGAGTAATGGGTCAGGGTGACGCCAGCAGAGGGCATATGATTGTGAACACACCCTCCTCGTTTGCACCAGCACCCTGCCTTTCACAAGGCAGAGAACTTGCTACTGTGCGCTACTTACAAAAATAGGCAATGAGTGCATTAAAGGAGGCACATAGTGGGAAACTGATTTGCACAAAATACATACTTCTAATTCATGGCTTCCTCAAAGGAAATCTGTTTTTTTTTTTTTTAAAGCAGTTTATTTAATTATTATTGTTCTTCAAAATACACACAATAGAACATACATAATTCAACAATCTCTACATTACAATTCAGTGACATTAATTACATTCTTCAAATTGTATGACTGTTGCAATTTCCTTTTTTGAATTATTCCT